CCACACCCTCAACCTTGTTTTGGTATATGGTATTGAAATTGAACATTTAATAGTGTTCCCACAGAATCCCTCTGTATCTGACCACTGTTTGATAACTTTTGAGTTTGTATTGCTGAACTACACTTTTTTTTTTTTTTTACAATTTTTTATACAAGATGCCTGTCTGATAGTGCTGTAGCTAAATTTAAGGATGTGATTCCATCAGCTCTAAATTCATTATCAAGTCACAAAGTAACGGAGGACTCCTATGCTAATTTAAGTCCCTCCCAAATCGATCATCTTGTTGATAGTGCTGCCGGCTCGCTGCGAATGACACTCGACTCTGTAGCCCCTCTAAAAAAGAAAATAATATAACAAAGACGGTTAGCTCCGTATAATAATGAAACTCAAGAAATTAATGCAAATATCGCGGAAACTTGAGAGGAACTGGCGTTTCACCAAACTGGAAAATTCTCGTTTAATTTGGCAAGATAGTCTTAAAACTTATAGGAAGGCCCTCCGTAATGCCATGAGCTTCTTTAATGATAAAATTCTAATTATTAGAAACAAAATTCACCAAGACCTGCCCTTAACTGGCACCAACTTATCTCTAAACTCAGGAACCTTAGAAACAGCTGTAAAACCAGATATGTTTAGACTACTTTGCTTCCTTCAATCTTTACCAACTAACTTCAATAATTTCTTCATCTAAACCAGTGGTCACTAATAGGCGGACCGTGGTCCGGATCTGGACCCAGCCGCTGTCCTCTCCTGACAGCCGACCTACAGCCGATTTATTATTGAGACTTACTACCTCGTGACGGAGCGTTTCTATTTGAACCCGCGCAACTTTTCTTGCATTTACTGTATTGGTTTAGCGGCCCAGGAAACTCACAAACCAATCTCATGTGCTTGAATCGTCTCATGTGACACTGCTCAGCCAATCAAATCTGTGCATTCCGATGCTTGCGAGTCGAGTCCGCGAGATTTACCAGAGACGTTTTGGAAACACACGAATTGAGGAGATGAAAGGGAAAAGAGATTTCACATGGCTTTTAATCAAGAATGTACAGATTTTTACATGTACATTCCTCCCACAGGCAGTTCAAAACCAGAATCTCTCATAGATCTCCAGTGCCAGCTGGTAGGACAAGCTAGAGCTCACGTTTCTCACTGAACAAGAGAAAGTAGGAAAGTGGTAGCTCTGTAAAAGGGAATGAAAGAGAAGAGGAGGCATTACAGCTGTTCAGTTAAGATGTGTTGAGTGTTTATTATAAAATTGGTTAAGACTACACTTCATCACTTCAAGCTACACTTTTTATTTCATTTTTTCAAAAAATTTGGCACTTTATTTTAGTTTATTTAAATTTAGAATTTATTATCAGTTATTATTTATTATCCCTGCAGTTTGATGTGAAAACTGAAATATGTCCTGAAATTTTGACAGTCCGTTGTTGACTAAAAACATACAGGTCCTGGTCATATAATTAGAATATCATCAAAAAGTTGATTTATTTCAGTAATTCCATTCAAAAAGTGAAACTTGTATAATGTATACATTCATTCCACACAGACTGATATATTTCAAGTGTTCATTACTTTTAATTTGGATGATTATAACTGACAACTAATGAAAATCAGTATCTCAGAAAATTAGAATATTGTGAAAAGGTTCAATATTGAAGACACCTGGTGCCACACTCTAACCAGCCAATCAACTCAAAACACCTGCAAAGGCCTTTAAATGGTCTCTCAGTCTAGTTCTGTAGGCTACACAATCATGGGGAAGACTGCTGACTTCACAGCTGTCCAAAAGACAACCATTGACACCTTGCACAAGGAGGGCAGGACACAAAAGGTCACTGCTAAAGAGGCTGGCTGTTCACAGAGCTCTGTGTCCAAGCACATTAATAGAGAGGCCAAGGGAAGGAAAAGATGTGGTAGAAAAAAATGTACAAGCAATAGGGATAACAGCACCCTGGAGAGGATTGTGAAACAAAAGCCATTCAAAAATGTGGGGGAGATTCACAAAGAGTGGACTGCAGCTGGAGTCAGTGCTTCAAGAACCACCACGCACAGACGCAAGACATGGGTTTCAGCTGTCGCATTCCTTGTGTCAAGCCACTCTTGAACAAGACACAGCGTCAGAAGCGTCTCGCCTGGGCTAAAGACAAAAATGACTGGACTGCTGCTGAGTGGTCCAAAGTTATGTTCTCTGATGAAAATACATTTTGCATTTCCTTTGGAAATCAAGGTCCCAGAGTCTGGAGGAAGAGAGGAGAGGCACAGAATCCACGTTGCTTGAAGTCCAGTGTAAAGTTTCCACAGTCGGTGATGGTTTGGGGTGCCATGTCATCTGCTGGTGTTGGTCCACTGTGTTTTCTGAGGTCCAAGGTCAACGCAGCCGTCTACCAGGAAGTTTTAGAGGACTTCATGCTTCCTGCTGCTGACCAACTTTATGGAGATGCAGATTTCATTTTCCAACAGGACTTGGCACCTGCACACAGTGCCAAAGCTACCAGTACCTGGTTTAAGGACCATGGTATCCCTGTTCTTAATTGGCCAGCAAACTCGCCTGACCTTAACCCTATAGAAAATCTATGGGGTATTGTGAAGAGGAAGATGCGATACGCCAGACCCAACAATGCAGAAGAGCTGAAGGCCACTATCAGAGCAACCTGGGCTCTCATAACACCTGAGCAGTGCCACAGACTGATCGTCTCCATGCCACGCCGCATTGCTGCAGTAATTCAGGCCAAAGGAGCCTGTGCTGTACATGCTCATACTTTTCATGTTCATACTTTTCAGTTAGCCAACATTTCTAAAAATCCTTTTTTTGTATTGGTCTTAAGTAATATTCTAATTTTCGGAGATACTGAATTTGGGATTTTCATTCGTTGTCAGTTTTAATCCTCACAATTAAATTAAATAAGCATTTGAAATATATCAGTCTGTGTGTAATGAATGAATATAATATCAAAAGTTTCACTTTTTGAATGGAATTGCTGAAATAAATCAACTTTTTGATGATATTCTAATTATATGACCAGCACCTGTATGTTGATACAACTATATGTTATGGTACTGAATGATAACGCAAGTTAGTTGTTTTGATGTTACGGACCTTTGCTTCGGGAAATTTTCTCTAACTGGACCTCTTTGAATTCTAATTCAATACCTCTGATCTAAACCATCAACCTGCCTCTTAGACCCCATCCCGACTAGGCTGCTTAAAGATGTTTTACCCTTAGTCAGCACTTCTATACTAGATATGATCAATCTATCTCTATCAACAGGCTATGTACCACAGTACTTTAAAGTAGCTGTAATTAAACCTCTTCTGAAAAAGCCCGAACTTGATCCAGATGTTTTAGCCAACTATAGACCTATATCTAACCTTCCATTTCTCTCTAAGGTTCTGGAGAAAGCAGTTGCTAAACAGCTGTGTGACTTTCTACAGAGCAATAGTTTATTTGAGGATTTTCAGTCAGGATTTAGAGCTCATCATAGCACAGAGACAGCACTCGTGAAAATTACTAATGACCTCCTCATTGCAAAGGACTTGTCTCTGTACTGGTTTTATTAGATCTTAGTGCTGCATTTGATACCATTGACCATCAGATCCTATTGCAGAGACTGAAACATTTCATTGGCATTAAAGGAACCGCTCTAAGCTGGTTTAAGTCCTATTTATCAGATCGATTTCAGTTTGTACATGTTAACGATGAGTCCTCCATGCATGCCAAAGTTAGTCATGGAGTTCCTCAAGGATCTGTCCTCGGAGGAATCTTGGAGTTATCTTTGATCAGGACATGTTGTTTAACTCTCACGTTAAGCAAATTTCAAGGACCACCTTTTTTCAACTACGTAATATTGCAAAAATCAGGAACATCCTGTCTAAAAATGATGCAGAAAAACTAGTCCATGCATTTGTTACTTCTAGGCTGGATTACTGCAATTCCCTATTATCAGGCTGCTCGAAAAAGTCCATTAAGACTCTTCAGCTGATCCAGAATGCTGCAGCACGTGTTCTGACAGGAACCAGGAAAAGAGATCACATTTCTCCTGTCTTAGCTTCTCTGCATTGGCTTCCAGTAAAATCCAGAATAGAATTTAAAATCATTCTTATTACCTACAAAGCTCTTAATGGTCAGGCACCATCTTATCTTAAAGAGCTCATAGTACCTTACTACCCCACCAGAGCACTGCGCTCCCAGAATGCAGGGTTACTTGTGGTTCCTAGAGTCTCCAAAAGTAGACTAGGAGCCAGAGCGTTCAGCTATCAAGCTCCTCTCCTGTGGAACCAGGTTCCAGTTTGGGTTCAGGAGGCAGACACCATCTCCACATTTAAGAGTAGGCTTAAGACTTTCCTCTTTGATAAAGCTTATAGTTAGGGCTGGCTCAGGTGAGTCCTGAACCATCCCTTAGTTATGCTGCTATAGGCCTAGACTGCCGGGGGATTTCCCATGATGCACTGAGCTCCTCTCTCCTCTACTTCCTCTCCCTCTGTATGCAACCTCATCCCATTAATGCATGTTACTAACAACTTCTCCCCTTTCCGGTAGTCATGTGCTTTCTCGTCCCTCTCCTCTCTCCTCCTATCACTTCCTGCAGGTGTTTCTGGCTCTGGAGCTGTGGAATCTGGATCTGTGGTTGCGAGTCACCTGCTGCCCCCGTGTTCCTGCTCGACACCCTCTGCTCTATTGCACAGAGGCGATTCCTATACCATCCAAATCGGCACTATCCCCCCAGTTAACATTTTCTCGTATGTTTTCTTCACAAAACGTGGTTTTTAGACTAGTTGTTGTGTGAGAAAGTCATTGTCAGCTCATGTAATGTGTGACCCCCTGTCGCAGATTAGTCATGTAGTGTGAACACCACAACGACTTCAAGACTCCCGTTACAAGGCAGCAAGTCGTATAGTCTCAACAGCGATCAGCCGACATTGAAAGTTGTGTAGTTTGCACTAGGCATAAAGACAAGTTGGTGCAACCGGCGCCTGGTGCTTAAAAGTAACTCACCAGCAAGGGGACACTGCCCTGGCGGGGTGTGCTGTCTGACGAAGGACAGGAACTCATACTCTGCTTGTTCCAGGGTAATTTTACTGTCCCGCACAGCCTGGGTCAGCCCTGACTGAGACACAGTTAAACTGGCTTTAAACATGATATAAAACAATAATAATAAATAGACAACTTCCCTTATCTACATAGTTTGCCATTTTGGCAAATATACTTATTTGCTTTCTTCCAATGATGAGATGAGAATATTGACCTTGATTATCGTGTCTTTTTTTGTAAGAAAGTAAGTTTGTTGACATTCAGTGTTACCAAAATGCATTGTATACATACTTGAACAGGCTTCTCCTCGAGTAGTATGTAGCTGCAGTACCAGAGGTAGTTTCAGGACCGCAATTCTAGGACCGGAACTGTATTTCTAGGACCCTTGTTTACTTTGATACTGCCAGCTAGCTGGCTGGCTAGCTAGCTAGCTAGGTTACTCCTGACAGCCCCTCCAAGCCAATTACCCTTACCACTACCACCACCGAGTGTGTGCCTAAACTTAAGTTATTGATTATATGCCACCAAGTTAACCCTACAGCCTCACGGCCGACGTGTTAGCAGACAGGGTTAACCTCCTCCGTGTTCCTGTGCATTACCACCACCACTCCACTAGATGGCGTTGTCACAAAAGAACTACAGTCACAGGATTGTGGGGTCCTGAAACTGCAGCCTCCGGTACGGCAGCTACATAATATTGTTCTCCTCTGCCTTTGTTGACACAATGCAGCATGGCATACTACATTACAGTTCAGTGTGAAAGCATTGGTAGGACTGTATCCTTTTGCTCCATAGCGCTACCAGGGGAAAAACATTTCTCAGGGAATCTGTCAATATAAAGTTTTTGAGCATGTTTAGGTCCCCCAAAATTAGCTTACTTTACAGAAAAAAAAGAAAAAAAATCCCATCACAAATTGAAAAATTCAAATTCAAAAAGGTCGACTTCTTGTTGGATTTAGGGCATTGCTCCAAGAGGCTTTTAGGTATGTCTGGATATTAATTAAATAAATTTAAATTAAATTAAATTTCGTAGGTGAAATGTGCCGCTGGGGCTGCTTCGTTCAAGGTCTCTTCCTGTTGCCAGTAGGTGGTGCTATGACTTTGAGTGACTGTAGGTAAAGTTGGTAAATGTTGGATGTGTTCAGGGCAGGGATGTTATCATACATGTCAAATTTGGTACAGATGTGAGCATGTACACTGAAATAAATAACAACTTCCATGTTTTGTGATGAATTGTTGATTTTCGATGCCAGACCACGGGCACACTCATGGACGAAAACTAGAGCCCAACTGATGTGGGAGCCCAATGCCAATTTCAATATTTGAGTATTTTAAAATCCAATATACCGGCCAGCATTCTTCTTCCCCCTTATTTTAAGAAACGCATAACATAAACAAAGAATATCCCTACCATTTGTTATGTTGAGACCGTACCAAGATACCATGACATAATGCAGTATAAAAAGAAACTTTTTTATTGTTATAAATAGTACTTTGAACAAAAGTAAAGTGAAACTATAAAAAATACCAATATACTACTACTGCAACTTATAATAATACCATATATCAAATCTCATGTCACTGTTATAATATTAATGATAAACAAAGCTCTCCTGAAAAGGCAAAAAATTATATACCAGTATATATTTTTGTGCCATGAAATATAGTTATTACCTTACATATAATCTGACACAATTACTACTTTCTAACATGTAGCATATTCACATTTAGTTTATCCCTTTACCAGTGTTATTAATTCTATCCAAAACTAGGAGGAACCATTTCCTAACCACCACTGGGGAGGGAAGTGATAAACAGGAGGGTTAGTAAGTCTGGTAAGAGGAGAAGTGATGAGGACTGTTTTTATTATTATTTAAGTTATGTAATTGATGTGACAAATGACCAACTCACCAGGAACACTGAGTGTGAGAGCTACTGCGGTCAGCTGATGTTTTGTTCTGTGGTGCTGCAGTGTTTTGAACAGAGGAGCAGCAGCGCGCCCTCTGGTGGGCAAACTATGCAACACTCATGACATGAGCAAAGGATCGAGCTCTCTGTTTCTCATTTAAATAGTCATATATTGGCTGTTATAAACACCGGTGCAGATATATGTGCAAGTAGCTTATATCGGCCGATAATATCTGCAAAACGATAAATTGGTTGGGCTCTAACTAAAACTCACCGTTTGTACAACTTTTAATCATAAGTGGGTTTAGACTGCACAGCAAAACTTTGAAGTCGATCGGAATAATTCGAGGAGTTCATTGAAGTACGTAGTAAATGGTGAAAAATTGACTGTTGAGTTTATGGTATGGGTCTTTGAAGCTTTTTGTGTCTTAACATGATACATGATCCAGTTTTGCAGGTGGTGCTAGCGAGCCATTTTGCATAGTGTGTATTTTATGTGTAGGACTTTATGGGGGATAAACTTTATGTAGGATTTTATGGGTCCTACACATAAAATACATAATATTTCCACCACTTCTGACATGTGTGCAAAGTTTGGTGAGTTTTTGTGCATCTTTAGGCCCCCCAAAACAAGCTTTCTTTGCAGAAAGTTCCAATAGATACCTCACGTTTCATGCTCGGGCCCCAATAACGTGATTTTCTATTCGTTTTTCTTCCAAGCATCTGACCATAAACAGCTTACCTTTCCATGATGCTCTTTACACCACAATGACATCCCTTCCAACAGCTGGTCTGGCTGATTAATTATCAAGTTGGGCCCCTACCAACCAAGAACAGATTAGTTTAATTCACAATAGAATACAAGAGGCTGTTCAATGGTGTTTATGTTACCTCAGCCAAAATGTTCAGGTCAGAGTCTGTGATAATGCATGCCATTTCAATGATCTGGTCCTTCTCAATGTCCAGGCCTGTCATCTAAAAAACAAAACAAAAAAAACACAGTTATTTCTCACAGATCGATCCCTAACCTGCATCTGGCCAGCATCACTTTACTTCTTCAATGTTTACTTTTTATATTTCATTCACGATCATACATTACATTTACTGTAGAGGTCATCAAGCTTTATTAAGAAGAGAGAGATCTGTGACTGAAGTAAAATTAATTAATGAAGGCTGGCAATACATTACGTGAACCTGCACGCTGCAACAATATCCTCACTTTGATTATTTTACCGGCAACAGCTTGCATGAGTCTCAGTTATTACAGCTCAAGACATATGCATATTAGTGAATTATGGCACAAGAGAGAAAAGGCTTCATAGCCAATGGTAACGTGATCAACATCCTTTATCCATATTTTTTGTTTTGTAAAAAATTCTAATACAACACTTAGCATTGCATATTTCAACAACCCGAAACATAAAATGGTGTTGAAACAGTATTAGATTACAAAAAAGCCAAAAGAAAACAAACCAAAAGAAAGAAGGTAATTGTGAATCTTATTAAAGTATCATAATGTGCGTCTGTATTGCAGGGATCTTGCTAAATGTGGTTGATGGATTTTATCGTTTGAGTTTGAGAACGTGTGCCACTTTAAATGTTGCTGCCGCAAGGAATTGTGGGACGGCATTCTCTCCTTTCCTTTCACAAAGGATGGTCAAGTGTACCCTATGCTAAAGGAGATATGAAAGGAAGCATTGAGGCACCTTTCCTTAGCTTTTCCAGAATTCGACCAGCTCTTATGCTTCAGTGGCTGTCACTGAAATACTTCCGGTTCACTTCACTCTGTTAGAACCTTCCTCAGCATAAAAGACTTTTCGAGCGCAGCCCCTATGTCCCCATCACTTTCAACACGAAGTGACGCCCTTGCATATGGCAGCCGACAGTAACAGTTTAACCCTGAACACCCGCTTCATTTCGTTAGGTGAACTTAACGTTACCTCTGATTAACTTACCTCCAGGTCCACCCAAACCATTCTCTGGGACATTGTGTTGGATGACATGCTGGTTTTCCTTGACACCTGAACGTAAAAATTAAACACAATCTGGCAGTTATGTCGTGGCCGTTTCCCGGCGGGGTAAATGTGATTATTACACGAATAAACGGTACGTTTTTCTGTAAAACACTACTGCAGTGTGAATGAAACGCTTCCTTGCCGGACCAGATGACGAACTGACTCCTTTTGCAAAGAAAATCCAAGGTAACGCGAATCCATGCCGAAGTCATCAAATACACAAGTATCCTGGGCCGACTTCAGATCTGAACTGTCGTAAAATGTATTGTAACCGTAAAGCCGAGAAGGGTCTTCTTTTTTTTTCTCTCTCTCTCTCTCCTTTATTTAGGATACAACATATACAAACAAACTGGGCATCTTATCACATCTTATATATCCTTACATCCTTTACATTATGTTAAGCAAAGAACAAAGCGGACTTCAAATGATAATACAATAAATAAATAACAGAAACTAATTTTAAAAAGTAAATAAATAAAATAAAGGTAGGGCTACCTCAAATTAACATATATCTGCTGAATAATCAGATCAATTTTAGGGCTTTCTTGTTTTTTTACAAGTTTCAGTGACTTATTCAAACATTTTATCTCATTCTTCCAGTGGTTCAAGCAGGGTTTAATCTTAAAGAACCTACATTTATGTATAAAGGATTTCCCCAATAGCATCACAATGTTAAGAACAAAATCCAAATCCTAACCAAATTTAACTAACTCTACTGTAAATGCTGAAGACACCATCCCCTTGGACTGTAGCCAGCACCACACATCACACCAGAAGGACTGCACAAATTCACAATAAAAAAAAAAAACGTGTTAACGCAGTTAGGTATATCTCATTTAAAAGTTCACTTCTTTTACCTTGGGATCGGAAGTGGAAATGAATTATAATTTTTTCTTATTTTTTTCACCTCTTCAACTTCAAATTCCCTGAGATCATATGTCCTTCTTATTGGGTTAGGATAACATTCCTTAAGCAGAAGGTTTCTAATAACTCTGTTGGTACATTTATCAACACAAAAGTCATTTCCATCAAAACAAAGCTTCCTCAACCCAGGAGGAGCGTTTGAGTACAGAAGACTTTCTTTAACCAATAATCTTATCATAATCTTATCTATAAAATAAGCGACTGCCCAAACTCCTTTAGAGCTCCACTCCTTTTTTATTTAACCTCTTTCTTAATTTTTATATTATGTAGTGACTGCAAAGGATAATCATGTAAGGTTATCATTTCACATATATCTACATTCAACTTTAAACCTGAGGCAGAAAACTGTCCAATCGTCTGTAATGCTAACAGGATTTGATTTTCATCCTTTAAAGCCCCCCTCCAGCCTATTTTAACTGCCGTTTTTGTTTAACGTTCTATGACTATAGTAATGTCAGTATAGAGTCTGTCTTTCTAGTTTAGTGAGCTAAGTTAACTAAGTTGTAGTTAGACAGGTGTAGTTAGCTAGCATAGTTATAACAGAAAGTTGGCTAACAGAGGGTCTTCATTTTATTTTTTATTTTCCTCCTCTTGGTTTAGTGTGCTGTTCATTTCCATTTGTGCGTGTTGGAGGACAGATGACAGAAAACGCATCGCACTTTCACCAGCCACCATCTTATATACAGTCTGCAACATGCATTTTACTGACTGCCGTTTTACCAATGCATCGGCGGAGGCACCCCCTACACCCCTGTGGTAAAGTAAGCGCACCATAAAACGTAGTGGGAGTTATCGTGTGCAGTGCATGACAGGACCATCGACTGTATGATTGATAACAGCTGATACTCGCACATTAGTTTCTATCATGGGTAAGTAATGGCTACTCCTGCCAGACAGTAAAGTGTACTAAACTTTACAGTGTCGTGATGTTAACACAGCATACCGTTAGTGAATACTCCAGCCGGTCAGTTCCCCTTCGAGGGAATTCGAACTGCGTCGGTGACGACACTATGGGAACGCCTCTGGGTGTGGCAGGGCTGAATTATGAATGAAACTACTCCAATCCTATTGGTGTTGCTAGAACGGTAGCGTGTGACGGCGTAACCGGAGGCGTATATAAGCACGCCAGCACACAGGACACATTAGCTTCTTTCTATTCAGTAGGCACTCTGAGTATGTTTGGAAGCTCCACTATTGAGAAAGTTGTTGTCTTACCTGGAAGTCCTGACGAAGCAGTAGAGACCATGTCTGGTAATCAGTTCCGACAATGTGTTTTTCCATGCCCACGCTACATCGCGGCAGGAGCATCATTTCTCCTGGCACATGCCTGCCTGGAAATGTTGGCGGTATTCAGAGCTCTGAGGAGTTTTATGCCCGCTCTCCGCGGTCACCACGTCCTTGTCAGAACCGACAATACGGCAGTGGTGGCCTATTTGAATCTCGCGCCCGTTATGCAAATTGGCACATCAGATCCTTCTGTGGTCCCAGCAGAGACTGCTGTCCCTCAGCGATGTACATCCCTGGGACCCAGAATCAGGGAGCAGACCTGCTGTCGAGACAGGGGCTGAGGCCCGGGGAATGGAGACTCCACCCCGAGGTGGTGGAGTTATTATTCGATAAGTTCGGCCCCATAGACGTGGACTTGTTTGCATCTCGAGAGACCACGCACTGTCCCCTGTGGTTCTCCCTCTCGCCCCCAGCCCCGCTAGGGCTGGATGCCATGGTGCAGACGAGGCCGAGGCTGCGTATGTACGCTTTTCCCCCAGTCGCTCTGCTCCCAGGGGTCCTGGAGCGGGTCCGTCAGGACGGCGTCAGTCTACTACTAGTAGCCCCGTTTTGGCTGTCACGAGTGTGGTTCTGGGATTTAATATCGCTCCTGGAGGGCCTGCCCTGGCCGGATCTTTCACCCGCACCCCGCCCTGTGGCAGCTGTGGGTCTGGCCCCTGAGGGGGCACAGTTCCTGGAGGCGGGCCTAACGGCAGGAGCGGTCGAGACACTACTCAGCTCTAGAGCCCCATCCACGAGAAGGATGTACGGCCTGAAGTGGAATGTGTTCACCACCTGGTGTAGAGAACGGGCGGTGGACCCAGTTACCTGCTCGGTAATTATGATACTGGAGTTTCTCCAGCATCGTTTCTCTGCGGGCCTCTCCCCGTCCACGCTCAAAGTATATGTGGCTGCCATTGCAGCATTCCACGCCCCTCTGAGTGATGGGCCCATGGGGAGGCTTCCACTGGTCGTGCGCTTCCTCCGTGGAGCCCGGAGGATGAGACCCATGACTCGTTCCAGGGTTCCCACCTGGGACCTGGCAGTGGTTCTCGAAGCGTTGGCTGAGGCCCCCTTCGAACCCCTGGAGTCGACCCTTAAGATGACATTTCTCCTCACTATCACATCTCTGAGGAGGGTGGGGGATCTCCAGGCACTTTCGGTTTCTCCCCGATGCCTGGAGTTTGCCCCGGGGAGAGTCAGGGCCATCCTGCACCCTTGTCCAGGCTATATCCCTAAGGTTCCGTCCAGTTTGGCAGGGTCCACGGTGCTGCAAGCGTTTCATCCCCCACCTCATGTGACAGCGGAGGACGGGAGACTTCATCTGCTCTGCCCTGTCAGAGCGCTGAGTATTTATACTACTTTATACTCTGAGGTCTTCCCGGTGGAGGAAAGCAGACCAGTTGCTAGTTTGTTTCGGGTTCCCCAAGGCTGGGCTCCCTGCTTCTAAACACACCATCAGCAACTGGATCGTTCAGACTATTTCCCTGGCCTATCAGGTGCGCGGTTTGCCTTCACCAATGGCCATAAGGGCGCGCTCTACTCGAGGCATGGCGGCTTCTAGGGCCCTCCTCGGAGGGGCGTTGCTCCAGGATTTGTGTGACGCGGCTGGCTGGACCACCCCTCACACTTTCATCCGGTTTTACAGTCTGGACCTTCCTTCTGCACCTGGCACCTGTGCGCTTTCCTCCTAGTCGTGCTGTCAGGTTCTGCAGGCTGGGGGCAAGCGGGGTTTCAGCGCAGCCTAAGTGGGTATTTCGTTCCCATAGTGTCGTCACCGACGCAGTTCGAGTTCTGTCGAAGGGGAACGTCTCGGGTTACGTCTCGGGTTACGTATGTAACCCTTGTTCCCCGAGAAGGGGAACGAGACACTGCGTCGGTCCGCCACACCTCACCCCGCCTGGAGTGCCTTGCTTCATAGAAAAGGGCTAATGTGTCCTGTGTGCCGGCGTGCTTATATACGCCTCCGGTTACGCCGTCACACACTACCGTTCTAGCAACACCAATAGGATTGGAGTAGTTTCATTCATAATTCAGCCCTGCCACGCCCAGAGGCGTTCCCATAGTGTCGTCACCGACGCAGTGTCTCGTTCCTCTTCTCGGGGAACAAGGGTTACATACGTAACCCGAGACGTTTTTGGTTGTCGTGGTATTACGTCCGACTATTAACCACACCCCGTTTTAACAACTAAGCAACTTTTGCAACTTTGAGCTCAAAATTAAACTATTTGTCAAAAGATATCTGGCGTACTATGTGTGTAATCATCATTGTAAGGAAATGAATCAGAAAAATATGAAATATCATAGAAATGTCAAAATACACTGGAGGGGGGCTTTAAAAACAAAGTTGTGTCATCTGCCAGTTGATTTATTATTATTTGTCTTCCCATCACATTTAAACCTTTAATACCAATATACACAATAGATAGCATTTCTGCGACCATTATAAACAATAATGGTGAGCTGCTACATCCTTTGCGTATCCCCCTCTTAATCTCAAATCTTGAACAAGCACTGTGTCCTACAGCTACAGAACTATTGATTCCATTATACAGCATTCCGATTACATTTATAAATCTCTCTGCAAATCCAAAGTAATGTAGCATTTTCAGAATGAAAGGATGTTCAACAAAATCAAATGCTTTATAAAAATTAAAAAATAACACAAATCCACTTCCTTGAACCGTATGGCTATAGTCGAGTAAATCTAATACAAGCCTTATATTATTATGAATTGATCTCTCTCTTCTCTCAAAAATCCGGATTGCGTCTCACTAATTATGGAAGAGATGCCTTTCTTCAGCCTAGCCGCAATAGCTCCAGAAAGAATTTTATAATCGGAATTAAGCAGTGTGATTGGTCTCAAATTATCTAATAATCTTTTATCTTTGCCAGATTTAGGAATCAATATGATTAACCCTTGTTTCATGCTTGACATTAATTCTTTCCTCTCTATACACTCTCTCAGTGCTTGGAATAAAATATTTCTAACATCCTTCCAAAAGAACAAATAAAAATTGGTTGTAAGTCCATCTGTCCCAAGCGAATTTTATGGACATCTTCGA